TTTGAAAAAAGCTTTGAGCTTTGTTCATGCAATGGCGAACCCAGAAATATTTTTTTATGTCTGCACACAAGGCGGGGGTTTGAAGGTGCCACCTTCGATTTTTTTTTAAAGATCATAATCATGATTCAATTTTTGCTTCCACTTCAAAAATAAAGCTTTGATGAATCAACCAAAATTTTAAGAAGATAATCGATAATGATAAATAAAAAATAAATAAGCACCACAAAAAGATATTTATAAAATATAGTATAATTGTGGGGGTTAATCGATAAAAAATCCACCTTTGTCGATGTCTATTTGATCCAAAATTGACCAATTTTATTTCATAAAGAAACATGAAAAATCCCCTGTAATTCTCCTCCACTCTTTATCTTTTTCCTTTTAATTTTTTTTTTTACTTGATTTGAATCAAACACACTATGTAAAAAAAAAATTCCTCCTTAATTTTATGTCTGCAAGTGCAGACCATAAAACCAATGTAGGTCCGCCATTGTGTTCACGTAAGAAATCAATTTTCTTTTCAAATAGTCCTAAGTCCTAAGATATATTACTTTGAGGTTGCTTGGACTTAGAGTCTTCTCTTGAAGCTTGAGTCTTGATTTTCTTTAAACTTCTTTTTGATTGTTGCACTTTGAAGCTTTCTTTCCATGCTTGTTTGTTATCATCAAAATTATTGAATCTTCATATTCTTTACATAGAGTGCATTGGTTCCACATTACAGGCTATGTTAGGTTTTTTAATTTTTTATAATAGGTCAGGTCATACCTATAAATCAAGTCTTTAATAGTCCAGCATAGGCTCTAAATATTTTAGATAGACTTAAGCTATCAAAGCCAAAACGTGGCATAATATGGCCCATTTACACCCTTAAATATGAGGAAACAATTACTGGTGAGTGTCATTGATGGAAGTAGTCGTCCTAGAGGTGAGATTTTTAATGAAAGCACCAATTGATATAAATGGGTGACAAAAAACAAAAGTAATAGAGAAAACGACCTCTCTTCGAAGGGAGGTGGCCTCCTATACCAAATGATATTGATAAACTTTCTTGCCTTTTTCTCAAAAGCAGCAAAATGGGTCTTTATACAAGGTAACTGATATGCCTCCAGCATATGTATAAATCTAAGCCAAAAAGAGAAAGAATCTTGATCAATCCTGGATAAAAAGAGCTAGAATAACTGATAATTTGATAAATCTCAATCAGAGATCACGCAACTGATTTCCTTTTGATTTTGTAGGAAAATAGGACAAAAAGAAGCCCAAGTGGAAGTTTCCAAGATGAAGCCCCACGCTACTAGCGTGGAACTCACGCTAGTAGCGCCAGAATTAAATTTCATCCCGAGACATCCACACTCACAGCTTGAAACTCACGCTACTTGCGCCAGACTTTCTGGCAACCCACGCTCACAGCATGGGAACCACGCTAGTTGCGTGAACTTCCAAAAATATGAACAAAACTCCCACGATATTAGCGTGGGATCCACGATAGTAGCACCAAGCTCCTGTATCAAGAACAATACTCCCACGCTATTAGTGTGGGATTCACGCTAGTAGCACGAGAGGCACGTGGTGATTTTTCAAGCTTATATCAAACTATATCAGAGGGAGATTGGACCAAGAGATATGATGAAAATTTGATCAAGATTTCTACACAAGGTCACAAACTCTATAAATAGATACTCAGACCTCAGAGACAAACAATCTTTGGCTGGAGAGAATTCTTGGAGGCTCACGCTGGAGATCAGGATTTTGACGAAGTTGAAGAACAAAGACCATTGATTCTTCTTCTTCTTCTTCTTCATTTTCTTTATTGTTTTGATGAATACTTTTTATTTCTTTAATTTATTTAAGCCAGCTATGTGTGGCTAGTTTGTTTTTGTAGTTAGGATCACGGACCCGATGTGAATCCTTTATATTTTCTATATTGTTCTTATAATTTAATTAGTTTGTTTGTTCTATTCTACCTGTGTTACTTTTTCATATCCTGTTTAAAACTGATCACTCTAAATTATAGGGCTTTGAAGGTTAGAATTCACAATAGACATATTGGGGTTTTAATCTGGACAAGGGTAGAATAACAGTTTGTGTATGATCTAGACATAGGCTTACATAGATTGCAGACTCATGATTCATTTGTTTAATGCTTGATTCAAGAGGAATTACTAAGACATTAGAATTCTAATTGGGTTAAAGGGTTGAAATCACTAAGACATTAGGGTTCAACTATTTTATAGGGAAATAATGAATTGTCTAAGCAAACCAATTAATTAATTACAAAATACAATATAGGAATATAAGGGAGCATCAGAGGTGAAGTGCATCCTGGCTACATCCTTTTTACAAATTTCTATCAATATTTTCTTACGTTCTTGATCTTTCTTGCATGCGTTGGAAATTAATTGTTTTTAATTTTCTGTTTTTAAATATTATTTTATTTTAAATTCTGTTTTTAAATTATAAACACTCAATTACTTTCACAAACCAAACCAATTTTATGTTCCAACTTAAGAGGAATAGTTAAACTAGTACTTGATGCATTAATCCTCGTGAGAACGATACTCTACTTATCACTTTATTACTTGAAACGAACGGTGTACTTGTCGATTTCGCAACAGCAACCTACACAACCAACAGAATTGCAAAACTAAAAATGTGTAAAGAAAAACAAAACCACCATTCATAACAAAATACACTGAGCACCACACATTCCCTACCACTCTTTGCACACTCCACTCTCAACTATTTAACAAATAATCTCTCATCCACTTGGGCTTAGTTTTATTTCTTTTGGACCATCTTGTCTTTGGACTAATGTGATGACCATTTGTTGTTGCTCCAGCCAAGGTTGTTAAATTGCAATATGTATCGTGAATCGTTTGACGAATTTTTTGTATCATGTATCGTATTGAATCGTAAGATAAAATATATAATAAAAAATAATTTAAAAAAATAATTAATATCATATAAATTCAAATTGCAAAAAGGATCCAATAAGCAAAATACATAAGTAACTAAAGAGCAAACCATTTATTCTCATACTAATCAATCATTAAAAACTAATATTTTTACTAATATCGCTATCATCATCTATTAGTGACATAACTAATCTATCATCCTCTTCATTAGGATAGTTATTTAACTCATCTCTCATTTCTTGTTCAACAATCAGAGGTCCTTTTACTTTATTATTCTTGTTGCCAATATCATTTCATTTATCAAGCCTGTTGACATTATCTTATTCTTGTATGATGATGCCTTTATCTTCCTTATAGATTGAAAAGATTTGGAATATTTATTTAATTATTTTCTTTATTAATACAGATTTTTCAAATTATTTTTTGAGTTTAAATTATAAATTAAATCTTTATTTTTTCTTATTGATAATAATTTTTTTATTTAAATTGCAAATCAAATTTTTATTTCTTTTTTATATTCAAAATTATAAATTTTGATTTAAGTTTCGTATCGTACGATACACGTATCATATCGTTTGATACAAATCTATTTTTAATACATTCCAAAATATATACCGCTAGACTTGTGAATCGTATCGTATGAATCGTATCATATGTCATAAGATACTGATAACTATACTCAAGTTCAATTGCTTCAGCCTGCTACTCATTCTCCTTGGCTAGTACCGTAACAAACCCCTCAGTGATCCAAATATAAGTTGCTGAGTTATCTCCACCTTACCTTATTGGATAACTTCCACAATTTAAAGAACTAAAATATACTTATAATTTCTATTTAAAACGAAGTTTTGGAGAGAAAATTTTAAAAATAATGAAATAAAACATAACTAACTTGTTGTCTTATAAAAAATTGCAATGTATGATGGCAGAGGAGAAGATACGAAAGATCCTAATTTAAACAAAAAAAGTGCAAAAATGAACGATCCTAACTTACTAGTTTTGGTATTCATGGGTGGCCACCACCGTTCATAAGTCATAACATTGAACAAGTTGTGCTTAACTTATAGCGACGCTATTTCTCATCAATTTGAAAAGGACGCACTCTCAACACTATATCACCTTATCACTGAATCTGACAGGTGAAAAGTAACATGAAGAAAGACAAGTGACCCCATACATAAAATGGCGCACTGATACAAAAATGTTGCATTCAAAAAAGTTAGAATATATCAAATGGTGGTAGCTCAGTTGGCGCATGGGAGCTAAGCATGTGGGGGTGAGAGCATGTATTCAAATCTTTCCAGTATCACTTTTGGGAGGGGTTTAAAGCCTTAATCCTGAACCCGCCCCGAATCAGATTAGTTGCGAAGCAATGAAGCGATTGGAATATTTCAAAAAAAAAAAAAAAAAGTTAGACTATCAAATTCCTAAGAGAGAGAAGAGCCATATGTTTCAACTTTTCAAGCCCCTCTCCTTTATTTGGAGCCATATGTTTATATCTTTAAAAACCTTATTATCATCTGTTGGAATTTATGATGTTACAAATATATGCTGTGGTTGTTGTCAATGCCCCCATGTTGATGCCCTAGTCTTTTTCTTTCCTTTTTTCTTTTCTTCTTAAAAGATTTGAGATCTTTTTTTCGACCCAGTGATCAATAGATATTGCTTGTCACCCTGCTAGATTTAAAACTTCATTAACAAATTATGATGTATTATTTTAAAGCATGTAATATTGTATTTTAGGGTAATTGTGAAATTGCATTATACTTCTAAATCTTAATGTTGGAATAATTTGAGAGTATATATGAACTAAAAAACAAAACTTGTCTCATATGCTAATTTAACTACGGTTTTAGCTTTTTGAACATGAAGTAATTAAACAGGAACACCAACTGATGCCACTATGAATGAGTGTTTTAAATTACCTATATGTTATTGCACTTGGGTGATTACTTTATTTTATTTTTTAGGAAATCGAGGTCAAGACAAGATAAGCAATTAAAGGGATATGATGTAGGGTGCTCTTTATTCCTTGATATCTACAAAACTTTACATTATAAAATTGACATCAGTGGAAGCCTTACTACTTACTAGCACAAGAGGCAGGCACCGAAAGCTGCTTTCTCTTATTATGGTCTAAGCAATTTAAAGTAGACAGTGATCTCAATTAATCCAACCCTTCATAGTAACCACTTCCAAAAGATGCAAAAGGTGATGGATGATTTTTTGATACCATATGCTTCATTTGTCATGCAAGTTACCCACATGACCACCTTCACTTAAGAGACAGAGGTAAGGCTTATGAGGCTGCAGTTAAGTGAGGGCGATTGTTAATTCCTTGAAAGAGATCAGTTGGATATGTATGGCTGTGATCTGAATCATTTAGGCAGTCTTTATCTTCTTCATCTTCTTCAGCATCCCAAAGAAATTTAGCATATGAAGCCAGGACATAGCTGCCAACAATTAAGATTTATGCATTAGTTTTATCAACCAGAGAAATCAGGACAACATCTTTTACTTTTGAGAAACAAAAGAAGAAAATAAAAGCAAAATGTCTTGACAATTTTATTTTATTTTTGGTAAATAAATGTCTAGACAATTTTCTTGGACACCAGATCATCAACAGATTATATAATAGTTTAGCTCATAGAACGCCTAATATGGAGGAGGGTAGACAAAAAACCAACTTCATTTAATGTCTACCTAGACCTAATGTTATGAGACAAAAATAAACATGTAACACATTAACACATGCTTCAATTTCTGTAAACAATTAGGAAAATGTATAGAAAGAAAAATAAAAAATAAAAAACCATAATCAATTTTGAGTTGTTATTTATAAATCTCACCAATCATCTGGGGCACTTTTAATAGCTTGATCAAAATATCCTTCAGCTCGATCAGCATTCTTTCTTGTTTGCCATATTAAATCAGCATAGAGGGATAGAATATGACCATCACCAGGATTAGCCAAAATCGCCCTTTCAAGATACTCCTCTGCTTTAGGATAATCTCCCCGAACCTATTTGCAAATTGAATATCAAAACAGCCATAGTAAGAAATATGCAATTCCATGAGACGAGGATATATATTTAATCAATATGAATCATATAGTTTTCCTTGCATTTCTATATATCGACAAGGTACACAATCTAGCCAACCTCAATAGTTTTTTTAATTAGTGAATAATCTGACCAATTGGGTTGAAAATTTCATTTCATTTTCAGCATTTTTCAAACTTCAGACAAATTAAGAAAACATGATCGAGAAACAAATTGAATTACCTCCTTCAAAAACTTTGCATAATTTCCTAGCAAAAGAGCATCACTGGGGTTTGCTTCAATCATGTTCTGGTAATAAGAATCCATCCTATCTCTACCATGATTATTTTCTTCAGGGTAATCCCACTTTCTTCCATGTCCATCATCCGAGCCTCTTCCACTACCATTACAACCACCATTGCTACCCATCACTGAAGTCTGCAACCTACTATCTTTCTTCCCTCCACCACACTCTTCATGATCCCTGACTCCCTTATCTAAATCAGTGCTTGAGAAAAGTTCTTGAATTGAAAGTTTTGCTTTCATGCAATTTTTTTGTTGCTGATCTTTGACATCGTCACTTTCTTTGATCTTTGTACTTGGTTGGATTTTAAGAACTTTACTACGTGGCACGAGATTCTTTTTCTTTGGACATGATGGGTTTTGAAGGCCTATATCTGACAAGTTTTGGCTTAGACTTAAAGCTGATATTGTTCTAGGAAGTTGGAGAATGTGTTCTGGCTCGGAAGAGGAACCTTTGGAATAGAGTTGCAATGAACTTAGAATTGGTGCGGAGGAACTTCTAAGTAACATGTTCAACAGTTGAGAGAGACAAATGAGAAAATCAAGGAGTTGTGATAATATAAGAGCTAGATATAGGATGCTGAGAAAGAAATGGTGCAAGTTGAAACTACCATTGGAGTTTGGAGCCAGATAAGGACTGAAAAAGTGAAAGAAAAGTACTTAATCAAAAGAAAGAAAAGAAAGAAAAGAAAGAGAAACACTGGGGAAACAAATATTGAGACATGTAATAGAATGTAAGAAAGGAGTGAGTGCTTATATAACAAGACGACCTTGGTACTTTTAAGAATCTTAGATGTCCAATGCCGTATTAGCAATTAGCGCACGGATTACAAGGATGCATGAAATGACTGGAAATGGATATGAAAAAAATAAAAATAAATAAATACCCTTTTAGGTCTCAGCAAATTTTACGATGTCTACGTTAGTCCCTAGCAAATAAAAAAGCTCATCGTGGTCCCTAAGAAATTGTAAATGGGCTCATTTTAGTCATTTTAAGGACCAATATGGGTCTTTTTTGAATTTGTGAAGGATCACGATTTCAACTAAATGGGTCTATTTTGAATTTCTTAGGGACCACGATAGCCTTTTTTATTTGCTAGGGACTAAAATGGGCATCGTGAAATTTGCTGAGGACCAAAAAGGGTATTTACTCAAAAAAAAATATAACATGGTCATAGCCATAACAATGTAAAAAGATCATAATCATACAAAAATGAATTAATGATTATAATTTTGTAAGAATCTATTTTAATATATTTTTTCTCTTTTTTTATTATTATTAATTCATCTTTAAATGAATATAATTCTTCACATGATTATATCATATATTTTTTAAGGGTTTGGTATTTGTCATTTTAAATGACATAAATTATGTTATTTTAAGAGAAAGATAAACACAAAAAATAAAAATCATGGGAGAAGAAAAGTGGGTGATTTTTTTTTAATTTAAATTTTAAATAAAAAAATTATTTTATATCTATCTCTCTTAAAAAGACATAACTTTATGTCTTTTAAAATGATAAACATTTTTCTCAAATTTTAACGTGAAAGAATCAAGATCCGACGTGAGTTGGGTGGGGCCAGAATGCCGCCGTTCTTGTGTTGTTTGGACTTGTGAGTTGCAAAATTGAACGGCCACAAATTGGTTTTGGAAATGAGACAAGTTGCATCGCCATATCGCCTTACCCTTCTTCCCCAAACGAGGCCAACCATGTACGAACACCTGCCTCGGGAACTATGGGCATGTTTTGTTTGTACACGGCCTTTGCTAATAATGTAGCAGCCTTCTATTATTACAGGGTGGCATGGAATATGATGTACTTATACATAGGTAGTGATAGAAAATGTTTTTATGCTATAGTACTTTTCAAATGGATAAACCAATTATGTTTAGTTTCTAAAAATAAATAAATGTAATAATTGAAGTTTGAAACGATAATAAGCCATACGATTGAATTGACGATATTGTGATATAATATAATAATCTTACATTACCCAATAAGCATCTCGCCCTGTGCCATTCAATTTTAAGCCGTTGTTTTTGTTTCGAGTTTCAGCACACTTTGGTAGTTAGTGAGGTGACAGCATGCATAGATAATTTGAGTTCCCGTTTTCACCCTTAGCAATGCGATAATAACAAAAGTAACATCATTTGAGTTCCCGTTTTCACCCTTAGCAGATCACTGCATTTGTCGCTCAACTGGCAATATTTTTGTTTATTATATTTACTTTTTTATATTAACAACATAATATTTAAAGTTTACAAGAAGCTAAAAGTACATTAAATATTAAATTTATATCTATGAAGACTAATTATATTTTATAAAAATTAATTATATATATATATATATATTCAACCATAATTAAACCATTAAGTTGTGAATAAATCCTAAAAGTTTGGTCATCACAACTTCGTAAAATCAATGGTTTTATTCTTTCCACTAACTTTTGGGGCTAAAGAACACGGATATAGCTCATAGTATCTTCAAGTTTCAAGACAAGAAACAGAAGAATGTGTTGAACCATTAGATTATATTTGTGCAAAAAAAATGGTAAAACCTTGAAAGTACAAGTATCTATTAGAAATATAATAGCGCAAAAACATGCGAACTTAGTAATATGTGACATAGCTACTCTGATTAGAAGAGATATATCAAATAAAAATATGACAACACACACTACAGCCCAAAGACATTGGCCAAAAAATTGATAGTGACGGTGGCATTCTCCTGCGAAAACATTTCCTGAAGCTCTGAGAAAGAACTCTAGAAAACTCTATACAACGTATACTAAAACGACACGTTAACCTAGAATAAAAATCTTGAGGCTTTTTATGAAATGAATATTATATTTCTAAGCAATGATTCTTCTTTGATGTTTACTGCAATGGTAGAAAAAACAACAAAATATGTCGTATTCATTATTTGCTCCTGAGAAGTAACTCTATGAAATGAAAGATTGCAAGCTACATGGCACTTGCAACCACCAGTAATCTATATGCATCAGCAAGTCCAAGTGAAAATATCAACTCCGCGAAATACTGAAAACTGACGTTTAACACACATTCATAAATGAATCAAGTGCACTCTAGAAAGGAGGGGGAAAAAAATATCTTAACCATACTAGCTGACTCAATTTTCAGGGTTTCGCGGTTTAGGCTAAATGGGAAGACATCATTCCCTATGAAAGGAAACACTTGTGTACACATAAAATGAATTGAAACATTCAGAAAGTTTAAACAGCTTGGAACTACTCTAACTAGTCCCAACTGAAATGAATAGTAAGAGCAATCACTGAAACCCACAGACTTGCATTGTGTCCTTGAATTAAAACTTGGAGACTATAAAAACAAAAGGAGGGATGTTCCTCTAAATTTTCAAAGTTTCGGAAATATGTCAATTGTCTAAACTTTATAAAATTGTAATTTCTTATTAAAAAAATGTATAAAATCATTAATATAATATCACTTACTAACTTAAGTTATTGGGTTAAATTGAATTTTTACATCAGTGTTTTAAAACCCGACTCGGACCAGCCGGGTCGACCCGGGACTCAGTGACCCGGTGGGTTCCCCGGTCCGAGCAGGTAGTTGGACCGCTTCTGCAGTCAACTCGTATTGGACCGGTTGACCCAGTCGAAACCCGATTGACCCGGGTTAGACCGGTTATTCCTTTTTTCTTCTTTTTTTTGGTAATTTTGTTTTTTTTGTTGATAAGAACTCTTGAATTAAATCATATTTACATTTTATGATGAATACGATTAAAAGTAAGATGAAAATAATAAGGTATTTTAGATTAGTGCAGTTCGTTTATGTAATTTAATTGCATCTTATAATGATCTCATGAAGTTAAGTGATGATAAACACTGGTGGTCTCATGATCTCATCTCAACGGTGGACACTTTTTTTTAGTGTATATTTTATGCTTTCTATTTGTTATCATGATAACGGTGACACTCTTTTCTTAGTGTATATTTCATGCATACTATTTGTTATCATGATGTAATTTATCCGTATCATATCAAGCACAAAAGGTGCATTTAACTTATATTGCAATTTTAATCCAATATTAGGATATGGTCTAGAGGTAGAAGCTTAGAAGTATATAATATTTGCTATCATTGAAAATCAATTTATTTTTTGAAGCTCATTGATAGTTTTCTTATGTGAATTTTTATTAATATAAGTAATATTTTTATACTTTTAATATGTGAACAGTAAATTCGATTGAACCCGGTTAAACCCGATTGAACCAGTGACCCAGTACCTCGATCGGTTCGATGACCGGTCCGAGTTTTAAAACACTGCTTTAAATGGTATCAGATATTTGATAATATGAGTTTGGTTCTCACCGCCCCATTTAATTAATAATTAATTAAGTCTTGTAAAATTTCTTAATACAAATAAATGAGCCTATACATTAGTAAGCTCTCATGTGAAAGAATATGTTAAAAAAATATGAGTAGATCCTCTCATGTGAAAAAATAGTCATATGATCATGTTATTTGATCACAACCACTCATTAACGATGAGATAAGAAAGAAAAAAATATATAATTTTTAAATGAATGATTGTGATCAAATAACATGACCACATGACCATTTTTTCACATGAAAAAATCCACTCCCGAAAAATATAAACTCATTAATATAACTTCACTCAATAACTTAAGTTTTTGAGTTAAATTAGTTCTTTACATTCCAATTTTACTCCCCCGCATTCAATTATCTTTTCACCATTTGAAATATCTACCTTCATAATCTTCACCATCATATCTGAACAAGGACTAACCGAACAACACGAGTTTACACTAACAACTTCAATAATGCTTCCATAAAGAAGTGCTGATTCGTGCCCTATTGAAAATTGGAAGTTTGTAAAGCTGTGGTTCCATGTGATTTTACTTTATAAAACAAGCTAAGAAACTTTAACGTGAGGACCTTACAAATAAATTACTAAATTTCCTATGCCGCCTCTGTCTACGAGTAACGCCAAACTTAAGTACTAATCCAAGACATTTAGAATTTGAATATAATTTCAAATTAAACATTTCGTCACAATTGCAGCATAAATAAGGAAAAGGAGATTACTCATAAACTACCTCTGACTGGAGGAATCTAAGTAAGCAGAATATTTTCAAGCATAAAATTTACATATTCATTCGACACATATGCATCATTTTTTTTTTCTGTCGCTGTATAATTCTGTCCCCCAAGTTATAATTTGATAATATACAAATTATATGCTTACTATTTTATCTTCTAAATCTTGATCCCTTGTTCGGTCTATTCCTCCCATCCCATGCAGAAGCCCAAAAGAATAGAGACATCCAGAAAAGAACAGCAAAGAAGATCTGTACTCTATCTTGAATTTTGGATAAAGATCCAGCAAGATCTGCTCCTCCCAAAAAAAAAAAAAAAATTTGTCAATACCAAAAGCTGAACCTTCACTATAGAAGCATAAACGCCAAATCAAAACATAAATCATAGAAATCGGCCATATCAGCATGTGAGAAATTTAATATCACAAAATATGGGCACCATTATGCCTAACAATACTTGCTCTAAGGCAAATTTTTAACATTGAGTAACGCACTTAGTATGTGTGTACAGAGTCTAGACTAAAAATGCAATGGAACAAAGATCAACACTCAAAAAAATACAAATAAAGTTGGCAAAACATAAAGTGGCTTCTACAAGATAGCAATCCAAAACTAACCATATCCTACATAATACAATGCTACAACAGACCACAGTTCATTTCAAACAATTTTCTAAGGATTTAGATAATTAGTTATTAACTTCCATAACTGAAAATTATTGTCCAACCGACCCTTTATGAGTCAAACACTTATTCTCAAAAAGAACAGGACATATATAAAACAAATAAATAAATAAATAAATTTAAGCTAAAAATATCAATGAAACCTAAATTATGCAATTAAAGCACGAAAACAATCGAAAGTTGGAACCTTTAAGGTGGCTTGAATCGTTTCCTGAAGGTGGGTCAGTCCGGGGTGGTGGTGGAGGGCCTGGGGTGGCGGCGCGGCACCTGGGAAGACGGAGCACGGTGGAGGTAGAAGAGAGTGGTTGAAATACACGGTGAGAATGGATTGGGAAGGAGAAGGAGGAAGTGGAAGAACGAGAGAGAGTGGAGAATGAGAGACACAAAAGATGGTTGTGGAAATTTGGGTTGGAGGTGGTGGAAGCGGTAGTTACAGAGAGAAGAGTCATTTCGATTTTAGAGGCATTTCAAGTTGAACCAAAATGAATGATAGATATTCTTCTATTTTTGGGTTATATTGGCTATACTGTTGAGTGACCTTAATGGGTCAAATTGTTGGCTGAATTCATGGATTGGCCCATGCCTAAGTGGGCTAGTCCTGACTAGCTCCTTGTATGGATTCATATGTTGTCCTTGAACAAGACCCACAAAATTGCTTAACTTGTAGTTAGTTGAGTTCCATCCAAAATAGGTAAAATTCATGAAAAATGTTAAATAATACGTATGTGTTAAGAAATTATTGTGCTTTATTAGTTGGTACATTTCAAAAATAGAACAGAACAGGGTATGGAGTTAAAAAGTGGTACATTTTGGTTTCACTCAAAGGGTTGAAAAAATGGAATAAAATGAAATGCTCTGTTTTATTTTGTCCGCCAGATACTACCAAAAGAATCATCCAATTTGGACACATATAATATAATGCTTCTAATTTCGATATGCCAACTGTGATATGTGTCTCCCGTAACTAAAAGAGGATTGGCCTATTTTTCGAAGCCTCAGCCTCACTTATTTACTTAACATGGGCATTTTTTTTAAGTCATGACTTGATCTGTTTTAAGGCATTTTGTAACCAGGCCAAACCGTGAGATCTATCCCTAAATAGGTTAAAGGGTTTTATTAATCTCATGCAACATGAGAGAAACTTTCTTATGCTACAGAGATGATCATGTGTGAAACCTATCCGCTTATAGAAGAAAAAAAAAATAACACGAAAATCGATAATACGTAGAAGAGAAAAATACTCTCCAACAACATAAGAATATATTTTCCGCAGGTTAAAAAGCCTAAACTTTTTGTGCAGAACAACGAACTCAAGCCTTTAAATGGACCAATAAGTATATGCTTTTGAGACGAAATAATAAAGTTATATGAACACTCTTAAATAAGCTGGCTCATCTAAGCCCAAAAAAGATGTTTTCGATGACCTAAAATCTAACCTTTTTTAGCAATTATTAGCCCAACTTATGTAATAAACAGCTTCAGGTCAAGCCAAATTTAATGTAGAACAAGTCGAAGGCTGTGACGGGTTACTGCATATTCCCACCCTTAATAAAGAGTCTTCTTGGCTGTTTGTTTTAGGGTGGAGCAATGCAAAATAAGTCAACAAGTACTTATGTTGATTAATTATAATTCTATTAATTATTAAATGAAAAAAATAGTGAATAAAGTATTAAATATTCTATATATAACGTATCTACTTTTTATTGAATGTGTTTTTATTAAATATTTATAAAACTATTTTAAAGATGTTTAAGGATGACATTGTAAAACTCATATTTCGTTTACCAAAAAAAAAAAACTCATATTTCATGTTTTATGAACCCCGGCCCCACTCCTCCTCTCAGTTTATCAACAGTGTGAAGTGTGAACTGGTGCCAGTAGACAAGAGACATGATCTACTTCCAGTTTGGTTGTATTCAAGAAATTAATTTATTCTGTTCATATTCAAATCAACACTTTTTTGTATTTGTAATCAATAATCAGAATGACAAACAAAGGATAATACTTCCATTTCCATGTAATTCAAGTGTGATTATAAGTAATAATCAATTAACTAGCTATCACATAAATTTATATTGTCATATAAAAGAGTGGCATTAAACTAAATCTGAAATAATAAGCTCCCAAAAACAAATATGTAAGAGTATGATGTTTCTAATATTATAGTTCATAAAATTATTTCTGCAATCCATGTGAAAAAAATAAAAATAAAATAAAAGCACAAGACTCACATAATTTTAAAGAGAGAGATTGCCAAAAGGAAGCTCCAACCCATGTTGGGTTCTCTGTCTCTTAATTTCTCTATACATATATAGGAATTAATGGTGAGAAATAGTACTAGATGATATAATCAAGGTTGAAACAGCCTATTCCCACATCTGCATTTCCATGAAAGGAGGTAATAGGTATCATCGTCCCCACGAGATGTTACTTTCAAACCCTTCCTTCTTGGGTGATTTGGAACAACCAGAGTAGCCATGCAAGGCCTACAATTCATGCACTTGTTTACACAAACCGGAGGCTTTGACCCTATCAACATTTTGCTTTGCTCAAAACTCTTGCTTGTGTCCAAATTCAATGATCCACCTATCCAAACATACCTACACTTTATTAAAACTTAAAAGGGTAGCTAATACAAGAGCAGTAAGAAAAGGAAGAATAAAAGATAAATATTTAGATTTTAACTGTAGAAAGTATAAAAAAAAACACAAGAAAAAAAACAATCATATGAAAGAAATGTTTGGCTTTCTAACATCAATTCTCAAAAGAAGTTTCAAACAGTTTTTAACTTAAATAAGATATTAGGGTGATGGAGGCTTTTTACCAGATTTGGAAGGTAGAATGGAGAGGAAAAAGATGAAAACCACAGTGATTGCAACTTTGAGTCCATGTAGAGGATAGTAGGATCTACAATGTGGAGCCATCAGTGATGGGTCTATGAAGGACTTTGACGTGTGTTGGATTTTGATGCAATTCACAGTGAAGAAAAAGTTGAAAGAGTGTTTGAGAAAGAATGGGGAAGCCTAAGAAGCAGTGAGTGAAAGGGACTGGTGTGTGTGTGTGTGTGTGTTTTGAATGAAATATGATAGAAAAGAAGACCCTTTTAAATGTGTTTGACAAAGTTGTGGGATGTTTCCTTTGGGAGAGACAATGCTTTGATTCCATGGCTTGTTCACCAATCAATATGAAATTCACACAGTGAAAATGTGTTGCTTTGGTCTTTTTGGGAATTTGGGGAACAGAGTTTTGATTGATAATGAATTTTGATTGACCCACCTTGGGTTCATCAACATGCTTTACTGTTGCCTATCAAATTACCCTATTAACTTTAAATTAATTGTTACCATTTTCAGTAATAATTTGAGTCCTCTAAATTTAATTTTATCCATTAATAATGTATTTGGTAAAACTACAGTCAAACTGTATTTGAATATAGTTTTGAATCTTAATTTTAGTCAAAATAAAAAAAAATATTAGATTAAATAATAAATAGTGATGATTAATATCCTTTACTTAATTATTATATAAATGAAGGGATTTACATTTGTCATTTAACATGACACAACAAATTTTCCTACACACATAACATTTTGTGGGGCTCACACTTTTTGAAGAAAAAAGAAAAAAATTGCGGCATACAAAACGAAACTCTATAACATTACACTATCACTCTTCCTACAAGATAACTCTTGTAAAATCCATAAATGAATTGTCCGCGTTTTCTGCTTCAAGGTTTGGAAGTGAATTTGGCTCTTCGTTTTTGCCCTTTTTGTTTTTCTTCTTTTGCTAATGTTTGGAAATCCCTATTTATATAAGTCACTCGTAGGCATAATCATTCCTGTCAATTAGCTTCCAGAATAAATTTCCATTGCAATCAATTTCTCTGCAGTCCTTTTCTTAGCAAAAGAAAGCTTTGGATGTCGGTGACTCGGTTAGTATAGCCATAGGAAAAGAGAAGATAAACTAGAATAAATAATAATAATAAAGAGTTATTACTTTTTTTATTTTATATCATTTAATATAGAATTTGATGTTTTTTATGTTATAAAAGATAAAATTATGTCTATACATATATAAAAGTATATGAAACTCGTATGAAAAGAAAAAAAAAACATGAATCCTACATATTTTTATATGTTTATAAGAAATAATTTAATTTTATCTTCTACAACATTAAAGACATCAAACCCTTTAATATAAAAAAAAGGAGATGTTTCATTTTTTATTATAAAATAAAAATATATGTAAATATACAATATTATCCATAAAAATATTACCTCTTTGAAATCTATTTTGAAAAATAGTTTTCTGATTTTTAAAAAGAAATATATATATATATATATATATATGTGTGTGTGTGTTTGATAAAGCCTGTTTTGTAAAAAAAAAAAAAATTTGTAATTTTTTTTTAAAAAAATATCAAGGTCTATTTATTTTATTTAGTTATTCAGTTAAATTAATTATTCGTTATTGGAGCAGATAGCAACAAGCATCTCATCTGGGAAAGCCATCTTTTTATCAGGTTGATCTTCCCAAAGAGCTAGCGAGGCGGAGGAGAGAGGGAGAGAATATCGAAGATGATATGAGGAACCACCACCATGACGAAGGATATCACCAGATCAGGGAGACTGAGCCTGGGTCTGGCTCTGAGAGAAAAGATCGGAAGATAAAAAAAAATTATTCAGATTTCAGATCTAGTTATAGATATAGGAAGCAACGAGTTTTTGTTTTTTGTTTTATTTTTATTTTTTCACATCAATGTCTTTTCGTGGGGTAATTTTTTTTTTAAAAAAAAAAATTAGTGACCCCTATAATCCCTTTGAGTCGGGAGTCACAGGTTTAATCGAAAGATTTCAGGTGTCAACATGTATACATGGTTTAACTGTTGACCTTTATCCTCAGAGAGCGGGGTTAATGCCCTGGCGGGATCAACCCTAAAGTGGGATGAGATTTTAAAACACTGATTTTGACTTTTAGGTAAAGAATTTTTTATTAATTTTATATTATATTATTTCTTAATACAAACGTCTATGTAGAGGCAAAAAAATTAAAATATTACATTTTTAATAATTAATTACGGGTAGCAGTTTGGAAACTATATTCGAATTTATTGCACTCATTCACGCCCAAATTAGGCGTGACTATTCACGCTCAAATTAGGCGTGACTCCCAAGATATTTACGCTTAATTTAGGCGTGAATCATCTTGTGTTGACACGTGACAAAAAAATCAACTTACGAACCGTAAAACTTTGAAAAGTCATAACTTTTGACTTGGTTATCCGAATGAGGTAATTTTTTTTTTGATTCCACATAACTTTTCGAGATCTACGCAATGACATCTCATTTTGATATATTTTATCTTTCACAAACATAATTCAAATTTGCAATAATTGTATTATATAGTATATTACCAAAAAAAAAATAAAAATTATTGTTAATAAGAAAAAGAAAATAAAGATTGCACCACTAG